TCTCCGGCTTCCCCTAAGTGGCACATTTCCTAGTTTGGGCGCCAGGCGCCGTCTCTAGACCCCTATAGTAACTATATGTATCCGAGAATAGAGTTGGATTTGGCGCCCTGGCGCCCAGAAACGGTGTAAATTGGGTCCCTTCTGAGACCGGAAATCAACAGAGGCGCCTTAGAGCCCTAGTGTTCCGGGCTCCCCTATGTGGCACAATTCCTAGTTTGGGCGCCAGGCTCCCTCTCTAGACCCCTATAGTACCTATATGTATCCGAGAATAGAATTGGATTTGGCGCCCTGGCGCACAGAAACGGTGTAAATTGGGTCCCTTCTGAGACCGGAAATCAACAGAGGCGCCTTCGAGCCCTAGTGTCCCGGGCTCCCCTATGTGGCACAATTCCTAGTTTGGGCGCCAGGCTCCCTCTCTAGACCCCTATAGTACCTATATGTATCCGAGAATAGAATTGGATTTGGCGCCCTGGCGCACAGAAACGGTGTAAATTGGGTCCCTTCTGAGACCGGAAATCAACAGAGGCGCCTTCGAGCCCTAGTGTCCCGGGCTCCCCTATGTGGCACAATTCCTAGTTTGGGCGCCAGGCGCCGTCTCTAGACCCCTATAGTAACTAAATGTATCCGAGAATAGAGTTGGATTTGGCGCCCTGGCGCCCAGAAACGGTGTAAATTGGGTCCCTCCTTTTGAGACCGGAAATCAACAGAGGCGCCTTCGAGCCCTAGTGTCATGGGCTCCCCTATGTGGCACAATTCCTAGTTTGGGCGCCAGGCGCCGTCTCTAGACCCCTATAGTAACTATATGTATCCGAGAATAGAGTTGGATTTGGCGCCCTGGCGCCCAGAAACGGTGTAAATTGGGTCCCTTCTGAGACCAGAAATCAACAGAGGCGCCTTAGAGCCCTAGTGTCCCGGGCTCCCCTATGTGGCACAATTCCTAGTTTGGGCGCCAGGCTCCCTCTCTAGACCCCTATAGTACTTATATGTATCCGAGAATAGAATTGGATTTGGCGCCCTGGCGCCCAGAAACGGTGTAAATTGGGTCCCTTCTGAGACCGGAAATCAACAGAGGCGCCTTAGAGCCCTAGTGTCCCGGGCTCCCCTATGTGGCAAATTCCTAGTTTGGGCGCCAGGCGCCGTCTCTAGACCCCTAGAGTACCTATATGTATCCGAGAATAGGGTTGGATTTGGTGCCCTGGCGCCCAGAAACGGTGTAAATTGGGTCCCTTTTGAGACCGGAGATCAACAGGGGCGCCTTCCAGCCCTTGTGTCCCGGACTCCCCTATGTGGCACAATTCCTAGTTTGGGCGCCAGGCGCCCTCTCTAGACCCCTATAGTACCGATATGTATCAGAGAATAGGGTTGGATTTGGCGCCCTGGCGCCCAGAAACGGTGTAAATTGGGTCCCCTCTGAGACCGGAAATCAACAGGGGCGCCTTCGAGCCCTAGTGTCCCGGGCTCCCCTATGTGGCACAATTCCTAGTTTGGGCGCTATGTTTTATTTAATTAATCATAGTTATTGCGTCGGGTTCGAGAAACACATTTTTCTAGTCGATAAACTTAAAATTCATAAATATGTTTTGTTATTGGCCGCTAGCGTTATTGGCCGCTAGCTTGACTTAGGCCATGCGCTTTTCCAGACCGGATATGGAAGTGTAAATGTAAAAGTTCATGTCGGTCCGGTGTCTGGACCTTTCCAGTAACAACAGAAATGGGAGTTACAGTCCAACAAATAACCCCTGGGAATGGTATCTATATCAGAGGTTTTATTCTAGCTTCAAGGGACATTAAATGGCATGCTTTTCAAAACTAATCGTTAATTACGCAGTAAATAAGGTCAGATTGAAATAGATCTATCAAGTGGTGTAGATCTACCTGTGACTGTGTTTGTTGGCAAAGCCATAGGGGTTAGCAATAAATGCAGAATAGGCTAAGCAATAATCACATTGGTTATTGTCAATAAATATACTGCAGAGTAGTTTTGTAAGACTGTCGACTCTTGGACGCAATATTAATTGTTTTGACTCCTGTCTGACAGTAATGTAACATTTTGTTGTCTTTGAAAATATAAACAAGTCCAGTACAGTCTCTTGATACTAAGAGTAGACTTGACTGGTCTCCACACCAGCAATATCCGCACACTCATTGGACTTTGACATAACATTTATGGACTCGAATGATAAGATGCTCCTTAAATGCCTTATATATGCATTAAGTTCGATGGAACAAAATTCAGCGGAAAATTTGTGACCGCGTACATAGCGTAAATTAATACCACACGGAAAAAAGTACTTCTACAGTATTTTGAAAGGGAACAGTGTGGCAGTTTTCCCTAAAATATGAATGCATTTTTATGAGTGTTTGTCAAATTTTCTATTTTTCTAAATTCTTTTCTTTCCAGGTCAGACATATCCAAAGAAAGGACAAGTAGTAGTTGTCCATTACACAGGTACAATTTTATTAAAGCAATTCTATATGAGATATTTTTAAAACAAGTTTTCAGAAAAGACTTGTTATTGAAATGATAAATATGGCAGACAGGTGGCTGCCAAATGCAGTAGGGTAACCCTTTTGTCTGGATAATCCTCCTACAGTCTTCAAGATAGGACCTTTTTTATTTTCCAGATAAAATTGTACATAAATCATGCCTATAATCTCAACATACTATTATAGCTGCATCAAATAAACTGGACTGCAATTTATTTTAGGGACATTAGAGAATGGACAAAAGTTTGATTCCTCGCGAGACAGGGGGCAGCCATTCAAATTTAGGATTGGTCACCAGGAAGTCATCCGAGGCTGGGATGAAGGTGTCGCTAAAAGTAAGCCGCTATTTTTACATGCGTCTTGTAGGCTTGGATGCTGATCTGCATTGATGTCATTTTTAGCTCACCTCAACGAAGTTGGGGGGAGCTTATGTGATACCCTCGGCGTCGGCGTCCCAGGTTAAGGTTAAGTTTTTTGGAGCAGTTTTCTTTTTAATTACTTCTGAGTCCTATATTGATTAGACATGCATGGAATATGGTTCTAGTGTGTTTCATTGTACCAGACAGAGTTTCAGATGCTGCAATCTCAGCAAAGGAATGACCAGGTTAATGTTTTTGGAGCAGGTTAACATTTTTGGTGCAGTTTTTGGTGTAGGTTTCATTTCCAAGTAACTATAAGCCCTATGTTGACCAAACTTGCATGGATGATACATCTAAGGATGCATACTACCGGGCTTGCTTCGGATGCTGAATCTGACCTACATTTTCCGGTTGAGTGAACAGGTTAAAGTTTTTGGTGCAGGTTTCATTTCCAAGTAACTATAAGCCCTATGTTGACCAAACTTGCATGGATGATACATCTAAGGATGCATACTACCGGGCTTGCTTCGGATGCTGAATTGACCTACATTTTCCGGTTGAGTGAACAGGTTAAAGTTTTTGGTGCAGGTTTCATTTCCAAGTGACTATAAGCCCTATGTTGACCAAACTTGCATGGATGATACATCTAAGGATGCATACTACCGGGCTTGCTACAGATGCTGAATCTGACCTACATTTTCCAGTTGAGCTAACAGGTTAATGTTTTTGGTGCAGGTTTCATTTGCAAGTAACTTTAAGCCCTATGTTGACCAAACTTGCATGGATGATACATCTAAGGATGCACACTACCAGGCTTGCTTCGGATGCTGAATCTGACCTGCATTTTCCAGTTGAGCTAACAGGTTAATGTTTTTGGTGCAGGTTTCATTTCCAAGGAAGTATGAGTTCTTTAATGACCAATCTTGCATAGATGATACATCTAAGGATGCATACTACCAGGCTTGCTTCGGATGCTGAATCTGACCTACTTTTTGTGGATGAGTGAAAATATTAGTTTTTGATGCATGTTTCATTTCCAATAAACTATGAGCCCTATAATGAGCAAACTTGCATGGATGATACATCTAAGGACGCACACTAATGGACTTGCTTCGGATGCTGAAATTGACATACATTTTTCAGATAATAGACAAGGTAAAAGTTATGGTTGCAGGTCTATTTCCAAAAACTATAAGGCTTATATAACATTGTATAAACCAAACTTGCACAAATGCTGCATCAAGAGATGAAAACTCTCAAATTTGCTTTGGATTTTCATTATATTTTCATGAAGAAGAACTAGTTTAAATTTTTTATGTAGGTCTATTTCAAAGTATCAGATCAAAATTGCTTAAATTTTTCATTTTTGGAATGTATACTTTTTGTTGGTTAATTGTGTGACTTTGCCTTACTTAAAGACAACATTCGTTGAGGTGAGCTCTGTAATCTCTGATTACCTATGTTTCATTCAGTGATACATTTTCAATCCATGAATTTTTATGATGTACAAATGTTACTTTTTAGCTAATTTTTATGTAATTTCCAAATCATAAGTAATGTTGATCATTTTGATTGGTATACTTGTGACTGAATTTGTTTTTGTCTAGATGAGTATCGGAGAGCGAGCTATTCTGACCTGTAGTCCAGACTATGGATATGGAAGCATAGGATACCCAGGTGTATATCCTTTAAACGTTACACTTAATGCCAACCTTTATGTTGGAAAATGTATATTACATTCACCAGAGTAAGACACAGCTTATGAATAATCAGAATATCATTATAGAAACCACATCATCAGATAATATATGCCAAGGAATCATTTATGATAGTACATGTATACGTACAACTGTACAAGTATTTTTATGCCCCCTTCAAAGAAGGGAGTGCATATTGCTTTGCTGCTGTCTGTCGGTCGACCATCAGTTTCTGTTCATTTTCTTTGCAAAGGTTGCACATATTGAAATGAAATTAGTGTACAGATTTATCATAAGAACATCTAGGTCAAGTTCTGTTTTAGGCACAGTCGGGCCATTTTTGACAGAGGTTATGCCCCTTGGACTTAGAAAAATTCCATTTTTTGCAGTTTCTGTTCATTTTCTTTGCAGAGGTTGCACATATTGAAATGAAATTTGCTGTACAGATTTATCATAAGAATATCTAGGCCAAGTTCTGTTTTGGGTATGGTCGGGCCATTTTTGACAGAGTTATGCCCCTTGGACTAAGAAAAATTCCATTTTTTGCAGTTTCTGTTCATTTTCTTTGCAAAGGTTGCACATATTGAGCGTAAATTAGGTATACAGATTTATCATAACAATATCTAGGTCAAGTTCTGTTTTGGGTACGATCAATCCATTTTTGACAGAGTTTTGTCCCCTTGGACTTAGAAAAATTCTAATAATTTGGGGGGAGGATGGCGTAAGTGTTTTACATACATCTCTTGTAATTATTGCTTTAGGAGAAGCTGTGATTACTTTATTTTCTATGGTACATCAACAATTTTAGCTTATGCTTTTCTTGACACTAAGATATTACACAGTTTTCTTAAGGAGAGCATTGTAAACCAAGGGACATAAAAATGTTTCGAAATAGGTTTTAATCATATTCTAATTTATATTAAAATCTAAAAGGAAGTTTCCTTAACTAAGAATACTATTCCTCCCAATTCAAAGCTTGTATTTGACGTAGAGCTGCTGAAGCTAGAATGAGGCCACCCCAGACCACCTATATATCTTATTTATTAAAACATTTCCTTGACTTCAATGGAACAACTTTATTTACAATGGAGGAAAGTGGAAGACTTATCCAACAGATTTTTTATGTGTGCATATACACGTATTTTGAGTATTTTGATATGACTTTTGTGTTCATTAGGAATATTTTATTATTATCCATGGAGTTACAATTTTGTATACTAAATATGTTTTTAAAGACATGTATGAATATTTTCTATTTATCTCCTGTATGTAATTACCGATGGTGAATTTTTGTGATGTTATGAAACATGGTTGTTTTATTGATTATTTGTGACACAAGACCATAGATCTAAAAGGCGGTCCAGAAGTTCTTAGTGACATGCATCTTTGCAGAATAAGATTTATGTGTATTGTTTATATAAAGTAAAATATGTCTTGCTGCAACTTGCAAAAAATCTTTTAGCCCTGTAGTACATATGCCTACAATGCATTACAAAGTTTTTCTCTCACAGCTAGACTATTTATTTTCAATGTTAATTCAATGTTAGGATTTTTTGTTTCATTAGTGTGTTTGTGTGTAAGAGCTTACTTGCCTGGTTAGAACACTGTGTTTTTGTGAAGAAGATGGTCCTCTATACAATTTTGAGGCTACATTAGCAAAAATTATGATAATTTAGTAGAAGTTATGTTTTCAAATCAAAGAAACATTTTCTGTACATTTCTAGTAATTTTACTTACACATACATCATCCAAGATACCCATAGTTTAAAACATATACAAGGACTAGAGAATGTGATGTATGGTAACAAAGAAATCACCTGAATGTAGAATCTCTGAAATGTTCTCTATGAGTTTATATTCTATGACGTAAAATTCCAGTTATATTTTTTAATGTTTCAGTATGCTAAACTACAAGTGAGACTTTCCTTTAAAATCTATATCTTTATCATTCAACCTTTTCCTTGATGTAGTGATATGAATATAGTTCATTTTCACTGAATGGGCATTTTCTAATTTCTTATGTTATTTGGTCACATCTATTTGTGTCTGTGCCATTGATGTGATAGGAATCTTCTTGAGACAGTGTGAATTACCACACTTGCATTGCTTGTCTTAGATTTATAATTTGTGCAATCAAACAAACTCCAGCAACTCTTGACTTTTGTAAAATAATCTCAGTGCTAGAATAATAGGTTGTGAATATGTAAATACATGTGTATTTTTATTTGCTTGATTATGAAACATTTTTGAATGAAGTAAAACCTATGAGCTTTGAATTCTATTTCAAGCTAATTAGTTTAGATTTTATTGGTCCAGGAACAAAATTGCAAGTTTTGTTAATGAAACTGGATAGTGCTTTATCTGTATATCATTTACACAACAGATGTATACTTGATATTGGTTTCATTTGATTCTTTGAATGCATCAAATGTATAAACAAAACTAAAATATGAAAAAGATGCATTATTTGTACTCTCTCCCCTCTCTCTCACTGGTTCAAGAGTCAATGATTAAATTAAAAGTATTATGTTTGTGTCCCTGACATTGACTAAAAACTTTCTATATATCTACTGTAGTTTCCAACAGTTTTTAAACAATCTTGTCAATATTTGTGTTTTATTGCATTTTTGTTAAGTTTTACTTCAATAAATGCATGTAAATATGACAGGAATTTTATTTCACTTGAAGTATTTACATGTGTGACTAAATGTTATTCTTCCTCAGTATTTTTTGTGATCCATAATTGAAGATTTGTGGAGCATAACATTTTAAGCTCAATACCTAAGCTGAATCAAAGGTTTCAGTGATCTTTTCTGATTATAATTTGTATGCAGGCATTGTCTGTCATAGCTGTTGTTGTCTTCATAAATTTTTCGATTTTCTTCTTTTCAAGAAACATTGGGACCATTTCAATTAAATCTGACATGGATGAATGGGATTCAAGGTTCAAATGAAGGACCACATCTTTTTCGGTTCGAATCTCACTGTAGGACATGGAAACCGGTCCTTTGGATGAGACCGTATAAACCGAGGTCCCGTATCTTAGTAGGTGCTGCCAAGAAAAAGATCCCTCACTGCTCAAAGGCCCTGAGTGCCAAACATAGGTCAAAATTTGCAGCTGTCCACTGGCAAGTGGTGGCGTCTCCATATGAGTGAAACATAGGTAATCAGAGATTACAGAGCTCACCTCAACGAATGTTGTCTTTAAATAAGGCAAAGTCACACAATTAACCAACAAAAAATGTACATTCCAAAAATGAAAATATCTAAGCAATTTTGATCTGATACTTTGAAGTAGACCAACATAAAAAATTGAAAGTAGTTCTTCTTCATGAAAATGTAATTCAGCATCTAAAGCAAATTTGAGTTTTCATCTCTTGATGCAACATTTGTGCAAGTTTGGTTTATACAATGTTATAAAAGCCTTAAAGTTTTTTGGTAAAAGACCTGCAACCATAACTTTAACCTGGTCTATTATCTAAAAAATATATATGTCGAATTCAGCATCCGAAGCAAGCCCGGTAGTATCCATCCTTAGATGTATTGTCCATGCAAGTTTGCACATTATAAGGCTCATAGTTAATTGGAAATGAAACATACATCAAAAACTAACATTTTCACTCATCCACAAAATGTAGGTCAGATTCAGCATCCGAAGCAAGCCTGGTAGTATGCATCCTAAGATGTATCATCCATGCAAGATTGGTCATTAAAGAACTCATAGTTACTTGGAAATGAAACCTGCACCAAAAACTTTTACTTGTTCACTCAACCGGAAAATGTAGGTCAAATTCAGCATCCGAAGCAAGCCCGGTAGTGTGCATCCTTAGATTTATCATCCATGCAAGTTTGGTCAACATAGGGCTTAAAGTTACTTGCAAATGAAACCTGCTCCAAACACTTTAACCTGTTCACTCAACTGGAAAATGTAGGTCAGATTCAGCATCCGAAGCAAGCCCGGTAGTATCCATCCTTAGATGTATCATCCATGCAAGTTTGGTCAACATAGGGCTTATAGTTACTTGGAAATGAAACCTGCACCAAAAACTTTAACCTGTTCACTCAACCGGAAAATGTAGGTCAGATTCAGCATCCGAAGCAAGCCTGGTAGTATCCATCCTTAGATGTATCATCCATGCAAGTTTGGTCAACATAGGACTTACAGATACTTGGAAATGAAACCTGCACCAAAAACTTTAACCTGTTCACTCAACCGGAAAATGTAGGTCAGATTCAGCATCCGAAGCAAGCCTGGTTGTATCCATCCTTAGATCTATTATCCATGCAAGTTTGGTCAACATAGGACTTACAGATACTTGGAAATGAAACCTGCACCAAATAACTTTAACCTGTTCGCTCTACCTGAAAAAGTAGGTCAGATTCAGCATCCGAAGCAAGCCCGGTAGTATGCATCCTTAGATGTATCATCCATGCAAGTTTGGTTAACATAGGGCTTATAGTTACTTGGAAATGAAACCTACACCAAAAACTGCACCAAAAATGTTAACCTGCTCCAAAAACATTAACCTGGTCATTCCTTTGCTAAAATTGCAGCATCTGAAACTTTGACTGGTACAATGAAACACACTAGAACCATCTTCCATGCATGTCTAATCAATATAGGACATAGAAGTACTTAAAAAGAAAACTGCTCAAAAAAACTTAACCTTAACCCGGGACACCGACGCCGACGCCGAGGGTATTACATAAGCTCCCCCAACTTCGTTGAGGTGAGCTAAAAATTCTCGAGAGGGACGTTAAACAACATACGATCAATCACTCTGTCTAATCAACTCTGTTTGACCTGTTCGATCATAACCACTAGTACTTTTGCATGATATATGAGATAACGGAGAGTTATCAAGCTCGAAAGTTCCTGGAAACTACAAATCGGAAGCAGAGCTAACACAGACTTAAACAAGAGGCCCAGGGGCCACATCGCTCACCTGAGCTAGGGAAACACACAAATCGGATCAGAATTGAAAAGTTTACAGAGGGGGTGGGGGGAGGTGGCTTGAATTCTAATTCGGACAAATTTAAATCTTCAATACATGAGGATGCTTACTTGTCAATATGACTTAACATAGCTTTTCTGTTTTTGAGATTTTCCCTTTATTTTCCTATGTAAAACTTTTGATTCACCATTGAGACCCTTCCCTACCCTTGGAGGTTATAATTTAAACAAATTTAATTCTACACTACCTGAGGATGCTTCCATATAAATATCACTAATCATGGCTTTGCTTTTCTGTAGAAAAAGATTTTTAAAAATATATTTTAATGTAAGACTTGGATCCCCCATTGTGGCCCCACTGTAACCCTGGGGGTAATGATTTAAACAAACTAGAATCTACAGTATCTGAGGATGCTTCCGTAAAAATATCACTAATCATGGCTTTGCAGTACTTGAGAATAAAATTTTTAAAGATTTCCCTAAATATATTTCTATGTAAAACTTTGATCGACCATTGTGGCCCCACCCTACCCGCTGGGGCTATGATTTGAACAAACTTGAATGCATCTGAGGATGATTCAACATGAGTTTCATCTTTCCTGTCCCTATGGATCTTGAGAAGAAGATTTTTAAAGATTTTTCCTATATATTCCTATGTAAAACTTGGATCGGCCATTGTGGCCCCACCCTACCCCTGGGGGCAATGAATTGAACAAACTTGTATGTACACTATCTGAGGATGATTCAACATGAGTTTCATCTTTCCTGTCGCAATGGCTCTTGAGAAGAAGATTTTTTTAAAATACCATAATTTTACACTAATTCATAATTATTTCCCCTTGGAAGAGGGCGTGGTCTTTCATTTGAACAAACTTGAATCCCCTTTACCCAAGGATACTTTGTAGCAAGTTTGATTGAAATTGGTCCTGTGGTTAACGTTCTTAAGAGGAAGATGAAAATGTGAAAAGTTTACAACGACAACGATGCCAACGACGACGACAGACAACGGACAAATTTTGATCAGAAAAGCTCACTACTAAAAAACTATTCCCATTCTGTTTCCCGTCTTCTTTGTCTATTGTGTTTCTTAATGTCTTTTTAAAAAACTTCAAAATTCATGTTGACAGAATATATTTTGACAGTTATAAGGATTATGTCACTGATCACCTTTTAAAGTTTGATCCGAATTATCAACTATAATTCAATTTTTATGATGAAATATTCAATTTAAAAAGATGGGAGAACAAGGCGGGCAGAATGCCTATAGCGTCAGATATTAAGAAATCATATGCAATATGTGAATTGAGTATTTAAATTAACTACTAATTATTGAAATTATGAGAAAAAAAATTGCTGAGAAAAAAAAATCTCGTGAAAAAATTTTCCTACATAAAATTATTAGATGGCATTCGTAGGATTCGAACCCTTGCAATAAAAATCCGACGTATATATAACATTCTGCTTTGAGACTAACGCGTTAACCACTATATGCTACATCACTCATGGTGGTTTGGGGCATTTAAGTCATGTTTGTGATATGTCCCGCGACTTAATGGACTTGAAGTATTTCTCGGAAAGATGCGAATTTTGTGTCATAAAAGTTTACTTTTAGGGTATAGTGGGTCCTCGCTCCATGTTTTTGTAAACCAAAAAATGTGTATTTTATTGCAAACTTTTAGGATGAACTTTCACAAAAATGGAGGGAAGACCCACTCATATTGAAAAATTTTGTTACAGCAGGAGAAAATGATCGTTTTTGTTAGCTCTACTGGTCAGAGACCAGAAGAGCTTATGCGATAGTAATGCGTCCGGCGTCCGACCGTCTGTCTGTCTGTCTGTCTGTCCGTCTGTCTGTAAACAATTTTTCAAAACGCTACTCCTCCTACAATTTTAGTCTGATTTCAATATAACTTGGCACACAAGTAGACTACACTAAGATATATAGAATAGTGCATCGATTTTTGATTTCGATGAACGATGTTGCCGTGGTTACTAAAAATAGAATTCTCTGTGAAATTCCTTTAAAACGCTACTCCTTCTACAGTTTTGGTCTGATTTCAATATAACTTGGCACACAAGTAGACTACACTAAGATACATAGAATAGTGCATCAGTTTTTAATTTCAATGAACGGTGTTGCCATGGTTACTAAAAATAGAATTTTCTGTGAAATTCCTTTAAAACGCTACTCCTTCTACAGGTTTGGTCTGATTTCAATATAACTTGGCACACAAGTAGCTACACTAAAATACATAGAATAGTGCATCGGTTTTTGATTTCGATGAACGGTGTTGCCATGGTTACTAAAAACAGAATTTTCTGTGAAATTCCTTTAAAACGCTACTCCTTCTTCAGTTTTGGTCTGATTTCATTATAACTTGGCACACAAGTAGACTACACTAAGATACATAGAATAGTGCATCGGTTTTTGATTTCGATGAGCGGTGTTACCATGGTTACTATAAATAGAATTTTCTGTGAAATTCCTTTAAAACGCTACTCCTTCTACATTTTTAGTTTGATTTCAAAATAAGTTGGCTCACAAGTTGACTACACAAAGATACATAAAATAGTGCAATGGTTTTTGATAAGTACAAACCAGTAGAGCTACAGTCTCGACAGAGACTTCTGGTTCTTTTTAGTGTGTGTAAGCTTTTTCATAGGCAAATATATTCAGTCTTTGTGAGATTTTTGTAAATTGTAGAGATTTTACATAAAGTATACTTTAATATTAGATGAACTACCAAATAAAATTTGGA